TTTAACCCCAAACCCAGTCAGCTGTAGCTGGTATTGGTTTCGTTTCATCATTACCTGATGCAAGCTCAATTTTAATAAAAAGTATCCAATTTTAAACGATAGTAAGATCGTTACACAATGAAGAAAGAGTGCTTTGTTTTATAAACTCATAATTAAGATGCTAGAATTTTCTTTTCTGGGAGTTTTTGTTTCTCAAATACACCATAAAATGACGCAGCGCCTTTTTTGCTCAGAGCTGCTGTTAATATACTCATTATAATTCTTCTTATTATAATTCTTGGACCTCTCGTATCGACAAAGCCAGAGGAAGCAAATACACCACTACTTTCAGAAAAACCTGACGATAACGTGCTGTGTGTCTGACTGGATTTTACAAGAAAGTTGTTTTAACCTTAACGCAGTAAATGTCACTTTAACGTGCCTAAGTAAAGTAGGTAAGAATGTTGGTAAAAATTAAAGTACGTCGCGCGATTTCTCCAATAAAAGTGTTTTAAGCTTTAGCGCCAAGTTTTCGTCGTCCATCGGAAGGGTTGGTTACCTGTAGATAAGTTTTCCTCTTGAATCGGCATTAGTCTTCGTTGTCAGTTCCACGACAGCTTCCCAATTAACTCTCGTGCGTATATCAGGCAGTGTATCAGAAAAAGTCCCTTGAAATATTTTCCGATATAATTTTTCCCCTCTCCGATCTAATTTGCTTGCTCTACTTATCGTCCGTATTTTACAAGACCGGTTTTAATTTTTAAAGATAACATTCGGGAGTGGGCTTCCCGACTCGTGATAAATTTGGGGGCGGTATCCGGCGGCGGAGAGGGGGCCAAAAGATTGAGAAAAGGGTTGAGAAAAGATTGAGAAGAAAACACCCACTTCGCGAACAAGAACAAAAGCGAAAAGGTTAATCTATCGCCAGCCCGGGAAACACAACACATTATTCCTTCATATTATCGATTTACTTTAATTAGTCGAAAAGAATACGCAGGGGGCGGGGAGGGATCTCCCCGGGGGTGGAAAAACGTAAAGAAAAACAAATTAATTAGCCCCGTGCCCTACGACTGCGTGTACGGCGATTAAAATTCCTAGAAGATTCCGTAATTACTCATCCCGAGGAGATGTCGGAGCCGCCGAGACGTTCCACCTATTTTGTATCATTCCATGGTTCACGTCAACTTCTTTATATCAGAGCCGAGCCTGGCTAAGAATTAAACTAATTAATCCCAGGCAAAAGCAAAGTATGGAGTCTGCAATCTATTTTATTTTAGCATTTTGCAATGCCGACTGCCGAGGATTAAAGTGTGCGAGCTGTATTTATTATACTACTGCGTGCTTTTTTTCTCTTCATTTCGACTTCGAATTATGAGGGGTTCCTTCTTATTATTCCGACGTCTTAATTAGGTTCTGCTGGATTTCGCGCACTTCTGCCGTTCGCTCGCTCAAACAACGATGCTACATCTAATTCTCACAGAAAAAATAACGCCATACCTACTTAATAATTGAATATTCTTTTAAAACGCCGAAACGTGCCAAATATATGGCCGAAACGTTTCCTCGAATACGTCGATCCGAAATTAAATTTTATATTTTTCGTGACACGGTAAACGGCACGAACTCCCTCGAGATTTTACTAGTTGTACAATAGCATAAACCGTTCAGGCTTTTACATTTTTCTTCACGTTGGATGACCTGATTCATTGACAAAACGGTTTGTCTGTGAACAAGTAAGACTGACGTTCACTTGAGACTGATTTGCAACATTTTTGACAAATTTAAAATGTCGAAAATTATATATTTCGTTACAATAAAAAATTTTATTAAAAAGGTGTTATCTGTGAACAACCTTATACAAAATTCTCAAGTCAATGGGATACAAAAACAGGGAGTCGTAAAATTTTATGTTAACAAAAACATGTTTTTGCAGCAAAAATAACATTTTTGAGAAAAATCCTCCAATCTCAAAATTCTTGTGTACCTCGACGAAACTTGGATTTACCAAAATGGTTTAGTATCACTTCGTCGTTGGGTGTACGAATCAGATTTAAAAAGTAATCCCACCAAAATTAAAAGTGAAGGATCAAGATTTACAATCATACACGTCGGAAGTCAATTTAGGTTTATAGATAGTTGTGACTTTTTATTAAATTCGAAAAATGTGATAGAGATTATCATAAAACTATGGACGGGACATTTTTTCAAAGTTGAATGGTCAATCAACTTATTCCTGCTTTGGCTAAGTTGAACAAAAAATGTGTGGTGGTTATGGACAACGCACTATATCATTTAGGACAGTTGGATAAGCCACCAACATTTTCCAGTAAAAAAGTCAAATTCAGGAATGGCTGTTTAATCGTAGTGGAAGAAATGCCAAGTTTACTGTTATTTACTGTTGTTTATTTAATAGTTACTAGGAAATTTCTATGGAATTAAGGCAAGTCAATAAAAAAAAATTCAGATTAAAAGGTTTTTCCGTCGTCTTCGTCGATTCCTTTAGATTATTTCTTGTTCCTGACTTTGGAAAACGCTATTTTTAGTCTATAGTGTGGACAGAATTGAAGACCTAAAAGTGAGAATTATACTTAGCAAGTACTAGCCCCACCCACCCACCCTTTATTTTCTTAGAAGACCAGGTCATCTGCCAAAATCAGTCTAATCTTAGCTAGTGTTAGCCCCGACCTTTATTTTCTTAGAGAGTAGATCATTTGCCATGATCAGTTTTATTTGGCAAATACTAGCCGGCTCGTCCGCCTTTTATTTTCATTAGAGGATATGTCACTTGGCAAAATAAATCTTATCTTGGCTAGTACTTGTCAAGATAAGACTGATTTTGGCAGATGACCTGCTCTTCCAAGAAAATAAAGGGTGGGTGGGCGGGGCTAGTACTTGCTAAGATTAGACAGATTTTGGCAAATAACATATCCTCTAAAAAAGTAAGGGTGGTTGGTGGGCCTAGTACTTGCCAAAATAAGACTGATTTTGGCAGATGACCTGCTCTTCCAAGAAAATAAAGGGTGGGTGGGCGGGGCTAGTACTTGCTAAGGTCAGATTGATTTTGCCAAATTACATATCTCCTAAAAAATAAGGGTGGGTGGGTGACGCTAGTGCTTGCCACGATAAGACTGATTTTGGCAGATGACCTGTTCTTCTAAAAAAATAAAGGGGGGGGGGGCGGGACTAGTACTTATATATATATATATAATTCAGTTCTGCAGGCCTTAAAGGCCCTGGGCTTTTTTAACAATAATTTTCCATTTGTTCCTGTCGGCTGCTTTGGATCTCCAATCTTCAATGCCTAAGTGTTGAAGATCTTTTCGAACATCGTCTATCCACTTCAGTTTTGGCCTTCCTCTCTTTTTCTTTCCTCCTTTTAGGCGGTCTAATATTTTCCCAATTGTCCTTTCCTCTGGTGCTCTTCCGACGTGGCCTAGCCATCTTAGTCTCTGTGCTCTGATTATCTTCGTGATTGTTGGTTCTCCGTATATTTCCTCGATCTCTCGGTTTGTTCTTCTTCTCCATTGGTCTAGTTCTTTTATACCTCCATATATCTTTCGTAGTATCTTGCGTTCCCATATTTCCAACTTCTGTTCCTTTTCGTTCGTTAGTGTCCATGTTTCACTAGCGTACAGGACTGTAGATCTTACTATTGTCTTGTATACTTGTTTCTTTGTTCGTCGTGTTGCATTCTTACTCCTCAGAAATCTGTTTCATCTTCCTACACTCTTGTTTGCTTTCGCGATCCGTTCTTCTATCTCTTCGTTCATTTCGTTTTTGTTTGTAATTACTACTCCTAGATATTTGAACCTATTTACTTCTTCGAATTCGTATGTTGTTCCTTCTTCTGTAGTTACTTTCAGTGGTTTTGCTGGGGTTTGTTTTGTTTCCATCTTCATAAACTTCGTTTTCTCTTGGTTGATCGCTAGACCCATTCGTTCCGCTTATCTGATTAGATTTTTTGTCATTTTCTTCATTTCTGCTTCTGTTCTCGTTATACATGTCACGCCATCTGCAAAGGCTATATTTTGGTGTCTTTTTTCGTATATCGTGCTCGTTCTGTGGATGACACTTCTCCTTATTATTGCTTCGAGTACTAGATTGAACAGGGTAGTTGATATTGGATCTCCTTGCCGGAGTCCCATTCTTACTTGGAATGGTTCTGACAACAGACCATTTATCCTGACTCTGTTTCTGATGCTCTGCAGGGTCATCTTTGTCAGTTTTATTAGTTTTCTTGGGACTCTCAGTTCTTTCATGGCTTCTAGCAGTTCTTTCCTGTTAACCGTGTCATAGGCTTTTTTAAAGTCTATGAACAGCAGATATAAGTTGATTCCCTGTTCGTAATGTACTTCTTGTAGTTGCTTCAATATAAATATCTAGTCTACAGTAGATCTATTTTTCCTAAACCCTGCTTGATATTCTCCTACTATTTTTTCCATATGCTACTTTAGTCTTCGGTTGATGCAAGTGGCCATTACCTTATACGTTACGTCTAGCAGCGCTATTCCGCGATAATTTTCGCATTTCGTAATATTTCCTTTTTTAAATATCGAGCAAAGTACTGCTTCACTCCATTGTTCTGGCATTTTTCCTTCCTTCCAACATTCTAGCACTCCTATCAGGTTGCCGTCCTTGTCTTTACAATATATTACTCGTGGTTGATAGCCTCTTTTCTCTTTTTTCACGTCCTGGTGGAAGTTCCTTATTTCATTCTTGTTGAAGTTTTCTTCTATTTGTCGTATTTGTTCTTCCATCTTTGCTCGTTTCTTATTTCTGCATATCTTCTTGTACTCTTTCCTTTTTTCTTGGTAATCTTTTTGGTTCTTCTCATTTTTTGATTTTAGATATTTCTGTCTGGCTGACCTCCCCGCTTCTATTGCTTTTCTACATTCCTCGTCAAACCATTCGTTTCTATTTTTGTTGTCTTTTTTGACGAACCCTAGTACTTCTTCCGAGGTCTTCCATATGTTCTCTTGTAGTTCTTCCCCCCTCTCTTCTATAGGTATGTCTTGCTCTGTTCATCTTATTCTCTCATTCATCTTTTGTTCGTATTCCTGTTGTACTTCAGCTTTCTTAAGTTTGTTTACATTTATATCACGTTGCATCTTCTTTCCTTCTTTTTTCTTCGGTATTTCTTGTTTGAGGTCTGCTCTTACTAGAAAGTGGTCTGAATTCGCTTCTGCTCCCCTGTAGCTTCTTAATCTGGTTATTAGTTGGGCATCTCTCGTTTTTACCAGTATGTGGTCTATTTGGCTGACCGTTTTTCCGTCAGGCGACATCCATGTGCCTTTGTAGATCTCTTTCTGCGCAAAGAAGGTGCTTTTGGCTACCATTTTATTTTCTTCTGCAAACTCTATCAGTTTTTCTCCGTTTTGATTCATTTTTTGGTGTTTGCTTTCTTTCCCGATTGTTGGCCTGTAGCAATTCTCTTTATCTATCATTGCGTTGGCGTCTCCTATAACCATTTTAATGTCATGCTTTGGTATTTTCACATATTCTTTTTCTAGTTCTTCGTAATATTCTGTTTTTACTTCTAGATCTTTCTCTTCAGTCGGTGCATGTATATTCAGTAGGGTTATTTTCCTGTACTTATTTCTCAATCTTATATAGCTCATCCTTTCTGAGATTGGTTTGTTTTTTTGAATTGGTTTATAAATAGTTGTGACTTTTTATTAAATTCGAAAAATGTGATAGAGATTATCATAAAACTATGGACGGGACATTTTCTCAAAGTTGAATGGTCAATCAACTTATTCCTGCTTTGGCTAAGTTGAACAAAAAATGTGTGGTGGTTATGGACAACGCACTATATCATTTAGGAAAGTTGGATAAGCCACTAACATTTTTTAGTAAAAAAGTCAAATGCAGGAATGGCTGTTTAATCGTAGTGGAAGAAATGGCAAGTTTACTGTTATTTACTGTTGTTAATAGTTACTAGGAAATTTCTATGGAATTAAGACAAGTCAATAAAAAAAAAAATCAGATTAAAAGGTTTTTCCGTCGTCTTCGTTGATTCCTTTAGATAATTTGTTGTTCCCGACTTTGGAAAACGCTATTTTTAGTCAATAGTGTGGACAGAATTGAAGACATAAAAGTGAGAATTATACTTAGCAAGTACTAGCCCCGCCAACCCACCCTTTATTTTATTAGAAGACCAGCTCAGGTCAGGTCAGGTCAGGTCAGGTCAGGTCAGGTCAGGTCAGGACAGGTCATCTGCTAAAATCAGTCTAATCTTGGCAAGTACTAGCCCCGCCCACCCACCCTTATTTTTTTACAGGATATGTCATTTGGCAAAATCAGTCTGATCTTAGCTATTGTTAGCCCCGACCACTCGTCCTTTATTTTCTTAGAGAGTAGATCATTTGCCATGATCATTTTTATTTGGCAAAGGTTATGTCACTTGGCAAAATAAATCTTATCTTGGCTAGTACTTGTCAAGATAAGACTGATTTTGGCAGATGACCTGTTCTTCCAAGAAAATAAAGGGTGGGTGGGCGGGGCTAGTAGTTGCTAAGATTAGACTGATTTTGGCAAATAACATATCCTCTAAAAAAGTAAGGGTGGGTGGGTGGGGCTAGTACTTGCCAAGATAAGACTGATTTTACAGATGACCTGCTCTTCCAAGAAAATAAAGGGTGGGTGGGCGGGGCTAAGTTCCTTGTACGACCAAATTGAAGCACAGCTCCGATCTTTAGTGTCTCTAGGTCGGACACTTGTTCAGCTATGCTGTTTCCCCTAGTCGAATCATGCCTTCCAGAAGATTTGCTAAGAATTTGGGAAAGATCAACATCTTTTAACGATGATGATAGTTCAAAGGTGCGTCCAGATCGACTCATGAGCTTTTTGCGCAAAGAAGTTGAAAGCGAAGAACGAGTAGCTCTGGCGGTTTCTGGTTTTGGAGACAAATTCCGACGCAAAGAGTCTCCAAAAGACGTTCCTACAGCTACAGGATTGTTGACGAAGAAGACGAGTAAACTGCGATAGCTATTTTGCCACGAAACACAGAAGCTAAGAAGAAATCTCTTACTGAACTAAAGAACATCCTGTCGGAACAAGGACTTTGTCTTGCCTGCCTTAAATTTGGACATATAGCCGTCCAATGTAGAACAGCTGCCAAACTAAAGTGTCAGTCCTGTGAAGGTAAACACGTAACCTTGATGTGTTCTAAATCTCCTAAGGTGTCAAATGGAGAACCTTCAAAATGTTCACAAAGGCTGTGCAACACTCTAAATAAAGCTACATACTTATTATGATGGATTTTTACAGACATTAGTGGTCAATTTAAGGGGTAAAGATATCACACGTCCAGCAAGAGCATTTATTGACACGGGATCACACCGGTCATATAAAAATAAACAATGCAACGCGTCGAGTATCAGCGCGCTGTAAAAATGCTGTTTAAATTGCACGTCTGGTAATAACTGATAAGCACATGCAAGTAATAACGACAAGGGTGAGATATCGTTCTGCATTCGTTGCGGCAAGTGTCTTACACAGTTTAAGTTAAATTTGTGTTTTTTTTAAGTGTATTTTATTGAATTTTGGAATACAGTTAGACTGTTGTGCAATCGTGTAGCTCCGTAAATTGTATACTGCGGATTGGTGTCCTTTTGAAGTTTCTGCATAACTTAAATCAAGGTGTACGCAAAGTTTATTCTTATCATATCAGTGAGTGCTTTTTTTTTTGTTCTTTTTTGATGCTCTTCTTTTTCTTTCGACTAATAAGTGTCATTCACCTCTTATTCATTTTCCTGTATCTTGTCCGAGGCCTACTCTGTTTGTTTTTACTGTAGTCACCAACAAAGGGCCCTGTTGGTGTGAGAAGTTGTGTCCTCGTTTTAATTCCCTTTCATTAAAATATCAGTAATGACGTTTTATTGTTTGATCTGCGAATCTGCTGTTACGCCTTCCACACCATCGATCAAATGTTCAAATTGCAAAAAGCATGTTCATGTTAGGTGTTCTACTGTGACCGTCCCAAAAATATCTACCAACGTTCAGTGGGTGTGTCAAAAGTGTTCTTCAATTGCTCCGGCCTCTGATACTCCAATAACTCTTGCGGCAATCGAGAAGCAGTTTGAAAATCTATTCAGCAAATTAAAGGAGGACTTGAAATTAGCATTCTCTCACATAATTGATGAAAAATTATTGCAAATTAATAACAGAATTTCTGATGTTGAAGATAATGTTCGAAAAATACAATCTGAAATTATTCAGAGTAATTGACGATTTAACTCATGTTTCGTCCATTTTGGAACCTCTAGGGGCACTCCAACAGCCAAAGAAAATTTTCCGTATTGGTCCTCCAAAACCTAATGCGGTACGTCCGTTAAAGATGATTTTTTCAAACAATGATAAGGCCAAGAGTATACTAAAATCTAACGTTAAAAATCCCTTTCGCCCGGATTTGACTACATGGCAAAGACAATCCAATTCTTCCATAATTGAGAAATTTGAGGAAAGAAAATCGCGTGGAGAGAACGACATTGCGCTGACCTATAGGAACAATATGGCATTGATTACACGGAGGAATGAAGGCAGAAGTCAAGCAAAAAACGAATAATTTTTTATTTTCACAATGTTGGCGGTTTAAATACTAAGGTAAGATTCATGATTTTTCAAATAGAGTTAATACGAGTGTTTACGATGTTATTATAATAATAGAATCTTGGTTGACACATGAAGTTTCCGATGTAGAACTAGGTTTATCTAATTTTAACATATTTCGTGCTGATTGAAGTTTTAGTGTTAGTGGTAAAGTTAAAGGTGGTGGTGTACTGGTGGCTGTAAAAAAAGATATATGTTCCTCAACTATCTTTATAGGTCAATCAGTTGAAAGTATTTACATTCGTCTTGAGATTAAGGAATTTAACTTTATTGTGGGAGGCGTCTATATTCCTCCTGGTTCTGCGGAAGTTATTTATAAGAACCACTATGATGATTTAGAAAATATTTTTAACAAATACCCTGTGTCCAAATATATTATTGCAGGGGATTTTAATTTACCTAATATAAAGGTTGATGACAATATGTTTATGTCGTGTGCAGGGCCACAAAGCAATTTTGATATAATCAGTGGGTTGTATTCGTTTTTAAACATGAACCAAATTAATATGATCCCAAATGAGAGAGGCGTCTTTCTTGATCTAATCGTTTCTAATATTAACGATATAGAAATTAGCGAAGCTATGGATCTATTATCAAATGTAAATTTTCATCATATTCCTTATATGTGGTCTGTATCTTGTATAGCAGATGCTCCCTTACTCTTGGAGAAGTATGTTTTTGATTTTGGTAACGGAGATTATCACTCACTTAATAATTTTTTGGCATCTGTGGACTGGACGTCTTGTTTCAGTAATAAAAAACTCTCGATATTCTATGACATTTTGTTTACAGGCATTAATTACTATGTTCCAAAGAAAACGATTAAATCTGGGAGTTCTTATCCGATATGGTTTAACAGGGGTCTTAAAAATTTGTGCTACCAGAAAAGGCTCGCTCATTTTAAATATAAATTGTCTGGCAAATTAGTAGATTATCTTAACTTCAAGTCGATTCGATCTCGCTGCAAGACCCTTAATGAAAATTTATATTCTTCGTACATTGCCCAAGTTGATGTTAGTGTTACATCTAACTCAAATTATTTTTGGAAATATATTCGTAATAAGAACAAGGATAATGGGATTCCTAATTACATGTCATTTAAAGATAAGAAAGCGGACAATGGAGCAGATATTTCCAATCTGTTTGCGGAATATTTTTCTACAGTCTATGTTACTGATCCCACAACAAATTTACAAAATAATAATTCACCTAATTTAAAAGTCTTTGACAGTGGATTAAAGGTAACATTATTGGATGTTTTTCAAAATATTAACAATCTTAAATCTTTTTATTCCTGTGGCCCCGACGGTGTTCCAAGTATGCTTATAAAAAAATGCATTTGTACTTTGGCTGTTCCACTGTTCCTATTGTTTGAATCATCCCTTATGGAATCCAAAGTTCCTGATGTTTGAAAGTGTAGTTATGTGTCTCTGATTTTTAAATCGGGAGCACGAACCAAAGTAGAAAACTATAGAGGGGTGAGCAACCAATCAGTAATCTCCAAAATTTTAGATTACATTATTGCGAAACAACTACAGTGGTCTTCTTCTTCGATTTTATCTACTCATCAACATGGGTTTTGTAAAGGTAAATCTTCTCTTACAGACTTATTGTCTTACTACGTGTTTCTTAATGATTCATTTCAAGTAAGGTCTCAAGTGGATTCCATTTACACCGACTTCGCAAAAGCCTTTGATAGGGTCAGTCATCACATTCTGATTTCTAAACTGAGTCAACTAGGGTTTAACAGTTCCACTGTAGATTGGTTGTTTTCGTTTTTATCGGGCAGATGTCAACAATTTAGAATTGGCAATTTTATATCCCGCAGTTTTGAAGTTAAATACTTCTGGTGTACCTCAGGGATCACACTGTGGTCCAATATTATTTTTACTGTTTGTCAATGATCTACAGTTTCGTTTCAAATATTCTAATTTCTTACTTTACGCCGATGACTTGAAAATTTTTAAACTTATTAAATCTCCTCAGGATGCGTTGGAATTACAATCTGATTTAAATAGCTTATATAACTGGTGTGATCGGAATCAATTGTTTTTAAATACTGATAAATGTTATGTTACAACATTCTGTAAAGTAAAAAATTTATACCAACATACCTATAAAATAAATTACAGTGTCTTGAAGGTATTAAATGAAATAAAAGACCTCGGTGTGGTGTTTGATTCAAAATTGTCTTTTAAATCTCATTACGATTATATTTTCAAAAAGTCAATGAACATGTTGGGTTTTGTATGGCGTCACTGTCACATGTTATTATCTATGTTCTCTTTAAAGACACTTTACTGTTCCCTCGTACGTTCGCATTTGGAATATTGTTCACCAATATGGTTTCCCTTTTATAAGACGGATAATGATTATTTGGAAAGAATTCAAAAGAAGTTTCTTAGATGTTTCGAGTTCCGAATGCATTGGCCCCACCATAAAAGCCAATACGAGATCATCACCAATTTCATAAACTTGCCTTCTTTGCATACAAGGAGGATACCGTCGGATGGTTGCCTTTTACGTGGTGTCATAAATGCTCATATTGTTAGCCCTGAAATATTATCACAATTGGATTTCTATGTTCCCGATCCTTCGGTTTGTAACGCAAGCATTGCAAACAATTTTAGAGTCCATTCTTCGTTAAAAACAAATTTTGCTTTTAATAATCCAATTAATAGACTAATGGAACTTGGAAACAAATTTGCATCCATGGAAAAGTTTGATCTTGTCCAGAATTCAAAACATATATTCAGACGTGAATTCCTTTCTATTCTTAACAATGATTGCCGTTAATTTTGCTCATGAGTTATGTCTAAGTCAGTGTTAGATTAGATATAAGTTAGATATAAGTACTTATATGTTTCAGTCTTTTGTACATTTATTTAGTTTATCTGTGTAAATTGGAGTAATCCGTAACATGATTAATAAATAAATAAATATCAGTAGCGGAGCAGCCAAAGAAATGGGTTAGGGAATCCTTAGAACATAAAAACTTGTTTATGCTTTGTTTGGAGGTCTTTCATCTGAAGTCACTTCTCATAATTGCTGTCGTGTCTATTTGGAAAATCCTTTGTTGAAATTAATTATTTTATACATCTAATGGTTAATATGTTTGTAGGTAAGTAGTGAGAGGACCAGACAGAAATGAGTAATCAAAATGGCGTTGTAGTCTTGATATTTATTGAATGTATTGAAAGCAAAGTCTGTGAGGGTCCGTGATTTTAATATTACTCGCAGTGTGTGAATTGTCAGGGATGTTTCTTTAGTTACAAGCTATCTCGTATCTACAGTTTATTTCCTTATATACTCTTAACGTGTAAATCGTTTTAAGTTGTAAATCATTATCATTTGTTTTTTTTGTTTGGCAGGCGCCTTTTTGTTCAATAAAGAAACCCAAAGAAAACTTAACATTGTCTGATTTGAAATACAAAGAAAGCTTAACAGGTTATGGGCCCAGAGACGGTGGACAAGTCAGACAAGCAATAAAAGTCAGTTAAATCAGTTCAGCCTCTGTTATTGTTGTCAAGTCTTGAGTGTCAGAAACGTTGTCGAACTCAGCAGAGTGTAGTCCAGTAGGAAACAACCAAGTCGCCTTCAGTCGAGACCTGCCCAGCGAAACCATCATTTGTCAGCAGCATAACGTAAAAACGTCATTGCAAAATGGACACAACAAAGTCGAATATTGAAATGTTGTCGGAAGATCAAAATGGTGAAGTAGATTATGAAGCCTGGCGTTTTAAAATTATTTTAATTTTAAAGTCGAAGAAATGTTTTGATTGTGTAATTGGTGCAGAGCCAAAACCATCTGGTGATCCAAACCAAAAAGAAGTAAAAGAGTGGTTAGATAAAGACGTAGAGGCTCAGACAATTATTGGCTTAAATGTTAGTAAGAAAATTGCGAAACACATCATGTGTTGTAAAACGTTGCAACAAATGTTTGAGAAGTTAGAGAATTTGTATGGCAAAAAGTCAGATTATGAAATTGAAGGTCTGCAGCGAAAATTTTTCGGCTTTCTGTTTGACAGCACAAAATCAGCTGTTGAAAACTGCAATGAGATACAACAACTAGCTCAAGATCTCAGTGGACAGGATGGAAACGACTATGAACAGTGGGCAATGACTCGAATGCTCACCATATTGCCACAACGTCTCTACCATTTTCGCACATCATGGGACTGGAAATCAGAGAACCATCTCAAAACTGATTGAGAAATTGAGATTAGAAGAGGACAGAATTAAAGCAGCTGAAGGATCAAGTGAAACTACAAGCAACAACGCACTCGTGATGCAGCACAAGAAGAGAAGCCAACAAGACAATCAAAAACTAAACAAGCAAGGTGGAAGTGCTGTAAGCATTTGTTTCAAATGTGGACAGAAGGGACATATAAAGAAGTACTGCAGAAATAAACCTTGTGGAAAGTATTTGGTGTACTGTAAAGAAAATTACCCCTGTCATCTCTGTGGTCAAATAGGTCATTTGCCAAAGAGTGCCAAAAGAAGAATGACGACAAATTGGATGAGAGGTCGGAAAGGTCGTTCGAACAAACTTTATGTAGCCGTCGGTTTGTCGAGTACTGAGCTCCCAAAACAACAACGAGTAGAAGATGTCAATGCTAACTGGTACCAAGACAGTGGAGCCACACAACATATGACTTCCAACAAAAGCTGGTTTGTGAATTTGAGACAACTGAAGCAACCTGCAACAGTCATTATGGGAGACTCAAATCAACTCAAGGCCTCAGCGGTTGGAGACATAGAACTTGAAGCCTACAATGGTAACAACTGGAGACTAGTCATTCTGGAAGACGTACTCTATGTACCAGGTTTGAACTTTAACTTGATTTCACTCAGTCAAGTGATGGACAGAGGACACATTGAGACGTGCAACAAAGATGTATCAATTATCAAGTCAAGTGACAACCAACCTGTTCTTACCATGGCTCAACGAGAAGGAAATTTGTATAGAGTGATGCTCCGACTACCCAGTATGAACACCAGCCTAATTGCAACTTCAATTGTCACCTGGCATACGAGACTTGCACATCAGAACCTGAAGTACGTCAACGACATCGTAGGCAGGAATAACATCAAGTACATAGATGACTGGAACAATCGAGTCTGTGAAGGATGCATTTATGGGAAACAACATCGAATTTCACATACCAAAGATGACAAGGTAGCAGCTCAATCATGGGATCTAGTTCATGTAGATCTTGGGGAAATGAATGTCACGTCGATCGGAGGAGCGAAGTATTTCCTGATCTTTAAAGATGATTATTCGCACTTTCGAACCGTTTACTATCTGAAGTCGAAAGATGAACCTCCAGACAAACTGAAGATATTTCTGACACAAGTTGAAAATCAATTTGGAAGGAAGGTGAAAGAACTGAGGTCGGATCATGGAACTGAAATAAAGAACAAAACCACATGTCAACTATTGGAGGAGCGAGGAATCAGGCATACGTTCTCAAACGTTCACACACCACAACAGAATGGCAGAGTTGAAAGGGAAATGCGAACCGTGGTGGAATCTGCGAGGTCGGTCATACATGCGCGAAATTTGAAAGAAAATCTATGGGCAGAAGGTGTCAACTACGTCGTGTTCACCTTGAATCAGACTGGCACCAGCTCAGTCAACGCCAAGAGTCCAGCAGACTTATGGTTCGGTCGTCGTATTGATATCAACAAACTGAGGAGTTTCGGATGTGAAGAAGTCTAGGGAGGGAATCTTTGTTGGATATGACACCGAGTCATCAAGCTATCGAATATATATACCTGGAGAAAGAGAAGTCATTTGCTCTGACAATGTGATTTTTGATGAAGAGAAAACAAAATACCGAGACATTATAGGAAGTGTGCCAATAATATCTGAAAAGACTGATCTAGGTCATGAAGATGAAGAATGCGAGTCTGATACAAGTCTGAAGGATGAAAATCAAGAACAAGAAAATCTTGAAGGTGAAATTACTGAAGATGAAGATGAAGAGACAGCACCTCAGACAAGGCGCGGACTTCGTGATCGATCAGCGATAACAATGCCACACCGACTGAAAGATTATGTACTCGACGATCTCACACCGAACAGCAGTGCAAAGTTAGCTTTGATAGGAGAAATCCAGGATATCACTGTCAATGAGGCACTGGAGGATGATAGATGGAAACGTGCGATGCAAGAAGAACTTAATTCTTTGACACAAATGAAAACTTAGAGACTTGTGAAATGCCCCGAAGGAGTTCAACCGTTGACATGCAGATGGGTGTTACGTGAGAAGGCAGATGCAAGATCGAAAGCACGTTTGGTAGCACGTGGTTTTGAACAAGGATTATACGGAAACGTTCAGTCCAATAGCTCGCCATACTTCAATTCGTCTTATGCTGAGTCATGCAGCTACCCAGAAGATGAAACTTGTTCCCTTTGATGTCAAGACAGTTTTCCTATATGGTAACCTGAAGAAGGAAATTTAATAACTTTGTTCGTCGACGACGGACTTATCGCTGGCTATGATGAAAAGGAAATCTACATCATCAACTCAAAATTCGAAATCACATACAGCCGTCAAGTTCAAAACAAGGTCGCATACCTCGGAATGGAAATTCACATTGACAAACAAGGCATCTTTGTAGGTCTTCCAAAGTATACAGAGAAGATCATTCGACGCTTTAAATTCGGTACGTGCAATGCAAAGTCAACTCCCATTGAGAAAGGCATGGTAACAGGAGAAGAGGACAAGATGAACGATCAACCCATATCGCCATCTATCCCATACAGAGAAGCGATTGGAAGCCTGTTGTGCCTGGCCATAATTTCTCGACCGGATATCAGTTTTGCTGTTAACTTTCTAAGTCGCTTTAACGGAAAGGCAATGATGAGTCACTGGCGAATGGTAAAAAGGATTTTTCAATATCTCAAAGCAACACCAAATCATGGTATCTTCTTTGACGGAAGCGACACACTCGTTGCTTACTCGGATTCCGACTATGGTGGAGATCCTGACACTAAACATTGTTTTGGCTGGTAAATTGTTTAAAAATGGGTTGTAAACAACGCCCTCGCGTTTAATGGTACGGGTTGGTGTCGCCAACTGACAACGTTGGCCTGCATTTCATTTAGATTATAGCCGGAAGGAGGTGAATCTCTGAAAAAGCATTTTATTTTAGAAGTTTATTGTTAGCAATAGTGAGTGTCTTTGCGTGTTAATGAGTGTGATCGGGCCAGTTTTGATTTTTGTGCATACAGTAAAGAATCCTCAAAACGCCTAAGGTAAAATCATCCATGGAAGATAAAATCAAATTATGGTTAGGGAATAATTTGGACACTAATTTTCAATTTCCTTCTTCAACCAAAGACAATGAGTTATTCTGCAAAGTGTGTGGAAAAGTTGTAAGTAAACATTTAAAATGCTGAAGCTTGAATTATGTTCACATTTTTGTTTCCTAGTTTAAGTGCGAAAAAAAATCATGCTTTGAACAACACCGCATTGGCGATGCACATAAAACGAACGAGAATAAATCCAGTAAACAGACTTTATTAAACGTTAGTCCAGACAATGATTTTACGTAATTTTGCAGACGACGGATAGATTAGGAAGACACATAGCCCATTTAGTAATTGGAAAGTTATCTTTTGAAGAAGCTGGCCGTCCATTTCTGCTAGCTTTGAAGCAGCTTGATAAAACTAATAGCAACACAATCTCGAGATTTATAAACGAATCATTGGGTGTGCTATTGATAATGTTAAGCATTGAAATTATTATGATTTATTTAGTTGTTAATTTGTAGCTTTATTGTAAAAAGTTAAATGATTTGTATCAGATGGTGCTTCATAGATGATCAAAACTGGTACTAATTTGAAGGTGTTTTATGAAAATATAACACACAGTGTTGGGCAGTATCTAGATACTTGTATCTAAATAAAGTATCTAGATACATTTTTGGGTATCTAGTATCTGTATCTAGATAAAATCGAATTTAAGCACAAAATATCTGTATTTAGATACAAAATTAATGCCGTAGATGCAGATACATTTTTTTATTTCACTTTTTTTCAGTATTTATTAGTTGAGTTATACTAGTAGTAATTTTTGATACTTCATGTTGGTGATTTTGGTCACATAAACAAAAATAGATTTTCGATTTGAAATTGTTAGTTCAGGTTTTTATTTTCTTTATTTTTACAATTTTTCGATTTTTATTGTTCCGATTTTTTAATTTTTTGCTTTCAATTCCGATTTTTTTCAAGTTTTCTTTTCTTCAATTTTTCGATTTGAAATTTTTCATTTATTTTTGTTTCTTCAAAATTACGACATGCAGCTCTTCGAGTTTTTATTTTAAATTTTTCATTTTTGCGATTTTTCAATTTTTTAATTTTTTATTTCTCAATTTGAATTTTTTGAATTCTTGGTTTTTTCAATTTTAAAATATGCAACTCGAGTTTTCATTTTAGAACTTCCCGTTTTCCAACTTTGGATGTTCTTATTTGAAGTTTTACAGTTGTCAACTATTAATTTTTAAACTATTAGATTTTTGAATATTTGATTTTTTCAATGTTAAATTTTTGATCTGCAATTTTACGATTTTAGAATTTTTTCAATTTTCAATTATTAGATTTTAATTTTTCAATTTCTCGATCTTTCAATGTTACAGTCTTTCGACTTTACAATTTTTATGATTCTATAATTTTTCGATTTTGCAATTTTTGGGTTTTTTTACAGTTCTTAGATTTTGCAAATTTCCGATTAAAAATTTCTCGAGTTTTCAATTTTTATTTTTCCAATTTTTAATTTCTTCAAATTTTAAATTTTCCAATGTTCGATATTCAATTTTTTTAATTCGTTATTTCAGTTTTTTCAATTCTTCAAATTTTCGATTTGGAATTTTTCACTTTTTCTGTTATTTAAATTTTACGATATCCAACTACAGTTTTCATTTTTAAATTTTTCAGTTATCCGATTTGGCAACTTTCGGATGTTTCAATTTTTTTTAGATTTGCAATTTTTTTGATTTTTCAATTTTTCATTTCTTAAATTTTTCGATTTGTTTTCATTTTTTTTTATTTTTTCAATTTTTCGGAGTTTCAATGTTCTTATTGTATATTTTTTTTTATTCAATGTTAAATTTCTCAGTTTCTCAATTTTTCAATCTTTCGTTTCTTTAATTTTTGAATAGAAATTTTTCTAGTTTCATTTTCATATATATCTAATAATTGTTATTATAATTTTTAAAATATTTCATTTTTTCAATGTTTCTCTAGATTTTATTTAATCAGTTTTTCAAATTTTCAATTTTAAATTTTTTGCTCCTCGGTTTTTCAATTTTGACTTTCCAAATTTTTCGATTCATTAATTTTTTTCGACTTATAGGTTTCTGGATTTTTAGTTTTTCAATTTCCCAGTTTTGAAATTTTCAATTTTTCGTTTCGGTTTTTTATTTTGGTTATTTTTTCAACTATTCAATTTTTCAATATTGCGATTTTATAATTTTTTGTTTTTTAAATTTAAATTTTTTCAGTTTTACGTTTCTTCAATTTTTCGATTTGCGATTTTTCAATTTTTCATATTTTGTTTCTTCAGTTTCTAGAATTTGCAATTTTTCAATTTAAAATTTTTCAATGTTACGATTTTCCAAATTTTGGAATTTCCAAATTTCCAAATTTTCGACTTTTAAGTTTTTCATGTCTCCAATTTTTCGGTTTTTCCATGTTCCTACTTTATATATATTTTTTTTTCAATGATTTTTTAATTCTCTGTTTTTTCAATTTCTCGATTTAGAAATTTTTCAATTTTCGATCTGCAATTTTTCTAGTTTCCATTTTAAATATGCATAATAATTTTATTATAATTTTTAAAATGTTTTACTTTTCCAATTTTGTAATTTTTACAATTCTTCGTTTCTTCAATTTTTCGATTTGCAATTTTTCAGTTATCCGATTTTCGATCTTTCGATGTTTCAATTTTTTTGATTTTGCTATTTTTTGATTTCTTTATTTTTTCAATTTTTCCGATTTTCAATGTTCTGATTTGCAGTTTTTGGGTTGTCAACTTTTAATAATTTTTACCATTATTTTTTTTATTTTTCGCTTTTTCAATGTTAAATTTTTGAGTTTCTCAGTTTTCCGTTTTTAGGGTTCTTTAATTTTTGATTTGCAATTTTTCTAGTTTTCATTTGAAATATCTATCTAATAATTATTAGTTTTTAACATTTTTCACTTTTTCAATTTTACGATTTTATAATTTTTCCATTTTTCAATTATTAATTTTAAGACTTTTTATCCGTTTTTTTATCTTTCAATTATAGTCTTTCGACTTTACAATTTTGACGATTCTATAATTCTTTGATTTTACAATTTTTGGGTTTTTTTATAGTTTTTCGATTCCATTTTCATTCTTAAAATTTTTCATTTCATCAATTCTTACATTTTTGCAATTATTTGATTAAAAATTTCACGAGTCAATTTTTAACTTTCCAATTTGTAATTTCTGCAATTTTCGATTTGGAATTTTTCAATTTTTCACTGTTACTTAAATTTTACGATAACAAACTCCAGTTTTCATTTTAAAATTTTTCGTTCAATTTTTTTTTATTTTGCATTTTTTTATTTTTGAATTTTTCATTTCTTAAATTTTTCGTTTCGGTGTTTTATTTTCTTTATATTTTCAATTTTTCGGAGTTTCAATGTTCCTATTATACAATTTTTCTTTCACAGTTTCTCAATTTTTCAATCTTTCGTTCCTTTAATTTTTGAGTCGAAATTTCTCTAGTTTAATTATTATAATTTTTAAAATATTACACTTTTTCATTTTTCGATTCATTCTTTTCTTTGATTTTTAAGTTCCTGTATTTTTTGTATTTCAATTTTGATGGTTTTGAATTTTTCAATGAGCCGATTTAAAATTTCTCAAGGTTTTAATGTTGCGGTTTTTCAATTTATTTATTTTTATAATTTCCCGATTTTTCAATGTTAAGATTTTATATTTTTGTTTTTTAGATTTTCCAATTTTTGATTTTTTAATTATCCGCTGTTTCAGTTTCTCGATTTAGAAATTTTTCGTTTCATCAATTTTGCATAATTATAATTTTTGGAATGTTTTACTTTTTCAATTTTAATATTTTAGAATCTTCCCGTTTTTCTGTAGAAAGTTAGATTTAAATTTTTTTAGTTTATTCGAGTTGCAATTTTTCGCTTGTTCAGTTTTTGGATTTTTCAACTCTTCGAACCAAAAAAATGGAAAAATTGCAAAATTGTATAATTGAAAAATCAAAAATGAAAAAGCCAGAATGTCTAAAACGAACTTTGAAAAATCTAAAAATTTAAAATCAAGAATTTGAACAATTGTAGAATGGAAAAATTTTAAAATTAAAAGATTAGAATCGATAAAGTGCAAAATAGAAAAAACCGAATCGAAAACAATCTGTATATAGATACTTTTATCTTCCATATATCTATATCTGTATCTAGATACTTTTAAAAGTATCTGTCCCCCACACTGATAACACACTTAACATGTATGGCACAGGGGTTACATTTAGTGTTTGAAACAATTACACTGAATTATCCAGATGTCAATGGGATAATTAGGTAGCAATCTTAAGAAAATCTTTTTAAAAGCACCAAGAATAGAGTTTTATAAAAACAGTTTACCAAATACACCTCTCCCACCTGAACCTGTATTAACAAGGTGGGGACTTGGATTCAAGCACCATTGTTTTATGCAGAACACTTTGATGTTTTAAAACAAGTCAGTAAATATATAATGGTTTTTTACTATCATTCTTATATTGAATATTTTTAGGTTGTAATGTCATTTGAAGCCACAGATGCACAAAGCATTAAAAAAGCTCAAGAATTCCTGAATAAAGCAAACGTTAAAAGTGAACTCTTGTCCATTAAAACTCACTTTAAAACTGTTGCTGATGAAATAGAACTATTAGAAACTATACGTTTAAAATTAAACCAAAGTGTGGAAATTGTGGAAAAAGTGTATACATCTTTAAAAAACACACCAAGAAAGGTGGGGGAAATAGCGTTCCAAAAATTATGTTCTATATTAAAAAAGAATCCAGGATACGATTTTATATGTTCAGTAAATAACGTAATTTGCGGTAATGGAAATGCTACCAACAATACATAAATGAAAACGTAGATTGTCCAATATTTAATTTTGCATACATCACTTCTTGTGATGACGCACGTTTTCAAAACTTAAAAGTGTTTTAAGCGATTAAAGGTGTAAATTTACAATCGAAAATTTAGATAAATATATAATTTGCTTTTGTAACTCATTTTAAATACCTGAATTATTATTTTATTTTTTGTTAAATGCGACTTGCTTTAATTTGATCACCGTTTTTTTGCGTTAACTTAGAATTAGGGGACGTAACTATAGATCGTTTATTTATTTAATCATTTTTTTGTTTGTTACACAAAATATTTGTTTCTATAATGTTTTCTTTAATGTTTTTTTTTTAATATATATTTTTTTGATGTATGCTTTTTCGTTGAGCAAATATTTTTTCCTCCAGGTTTTGAACCTAAACTAAGATTTTTATAACCTAATTCGTCAATTTTGGGACCTAAAAATGTCTCCTTTTATTCATTTTTTAACGACCTAAAATCCGAAGCTTATTTATCACTTCTATCTCCTCCTTACTCCTCGTCTCAATTATTAACCCACCACTTCTGTTCCTCCTCATATTTTCCTAAAACTTGCCTAAAGTGTCTATTTAGCCATTTTTTAGGCCTCGTTTAAATCGCTCACTTTAGGGTTATTTTTAACCTAAAATCCGCTCTTTACTCATAGCTAAATATCCGTCCGGCAAGCACATCAAGCAACTTTAGCCACTCTCTAGTGCATCCTTCGCTCCGACAATAGCCAGCAACCGTCTAAAACTCCTGCCGAGGTCAGGAATGCCGATGTGCCTCACGAAACCCATTCACAAACAATAAGTTCCGGTAAAAAGTGCGTAACAAATGGACGTTGATGTGTAGCGATCAGTAGCGTGCGCTTGCATTGTAAAAACCTGCCCCGCAACGTATGTTTTCCCACACGTAAACCATTAAAAAGTTAGCTTTCAAAAAGCACGATTTTACGCGAACGTAAGAAAACTAAATAAGAGCTCCTCTTCCGAGCGGCGAAAAACTTGTTATTGCGATTTTTTACCGACGAGCTGTTTATTAGCGCGGACTTTTTGTTTTCCTTATCGCATAGTTTTGAAACCTGTCGAAGGATCGGAATATAGTATGTCATCGTCCTCGGTCCTTCCCAAGTGTTCCAGGACCGGCTCGGCGTCACAATAGATAATTAGTTTTGATCGTTCAACTACACTCGATATCTAATAGTGATCTAAGTGGTCTGTGAACTTCCATCTAACAACACTTGTGTGAGTCTTGAGGTCGCACGTCGTCGTGTCTCACACATTATCCGATTACCGGTGGTACACAACCATATCGGGCGATGCGATCGCTCGAAGGCTCTTTGTTCCTGGACGGGCAATTAAAAAAAGGAAGAAGAGGTGCTCGGTCTTTAGCGAAATTGATATTACGGGTTAAAGAGGTGGCTAAAGTGAGGAAAATTGAAGGTGTAAAGCTGAGACGCTTTCTTTATATCTGGTCTGCAAAGTGCCCGATGGGTGGGGACTTGGGCAGGGCTGAGATGTTTAGATTTAAAAAAATCCTGGGTACCACAATGATTATTTATTTACTTATTTTATTTATTAAACTGAAATCTTTTGAGACAAGCCCAACAAATTCTAAAGTATTTTTAATGTTTCAAAAGAGTTATGACATTCCACGTTTCAACTAAATTACACTTTTTTCTTGCTTAATTTTTTTAATGTAAGAAGTCAAAAATATTCCATAAGTTTCCAAAAAAAGTAATGTTTGTTAACAAATAATCACAAAATAACGCTTATAATAACACAAAAACAGGTTCAGTAAACCCGGTAGTAAACAGGACTTGCGTCATTGACTCATCATGTATGCATTTATCTGGCACACAAAAACCTTAGGCGTTTATGCACTCGAATTAAACAGGTTCAGTCTTAGAAAAATGGACGAACAACAACAACGTATGTTTGACGAAGTTGCAAAAAAATTCAACAGTAGTGGAAAAGCGTTGAAAGAAGATGTCAATCGTTTGCAACAATGGCTAGAAACGCAAACACACCTTCCAAAAATTTTGGGTACGTTTTTGACCAAATTTAGCAATTTTGGACATTTGTTTTGTTAAAGACGAACACGCTCTCTGCAATTTTATGATTCTCAACAAGTGCAGTATCGAAATTGCGAAAAAAAAAATCGACAATTATTATTCAGTTAGAGCGAAAGTTCCAGAAGTGGTTTATAAAATGAATCCCAAGCTTCATCATCATAAGGAATTTAACAGTATGAGGTAAGTTATTATTAATAAGTATATATTCGGTGTCGTACTAATAGCTCTGTTACTAACTGAGATAGATACTTAGTGGATCACCCTCAATTAACAGACGACATGTACAAACTCACATTTTTCAAAGTAAAAGGGGAAACTGTTTCACCTGACTATGACCCAGTTAATTTCACGAGAAAACTAGTTAGTATGGCGGAGTTAAAACTGCGATATGACGTCATGTATGGGGACATTTTGGTCTTAGACTGCAAAGGATTCAGTTTAAACGTCGCCATGAGAATTACACCCTTGATGTTTTACAAACTTTTCGTTGTTCTTTACGATGTAAGACAAAAAATATTTACGTAACGATTAAAACTTGCTATTGTAACCTCAGGGAGTTATGTCGTCACGGGTCAAGGCTGTGCACGTCTTAAATATGGCGCCACCTTTAACTAAAATTTTGCAAATTATAAAAACCATCCTGAAACCGAAAATATTTGAAAGGGTAAGTATGAACCCTAGAAATTACGTTTTTATATTTACGTTCTTAAAGATTTGTATTCATTCGAATGAAGATGCTTTGAAGAAAGTTATTCCTTTGAATTTGCTGCCGACTGATTACGGTGGAAAAGGACTCTCTTTGCAAGAGCTAGAAGGTAAGTTTTGGAGGAAAAAAAAATTAAAAAATAATAGAGTTTGTAGATGCATTAGAGGCCAAGTACGCCCAAAATCAAGAACTGTTTGATCGCTTAGACGAAATTAAAGTGAATGAGGAACTGAGACCTGAGAAGCTGGAAGATGATGATACTCTGGGGTTCTACGGTAGCTTCAAAAAAATTGATGTCGACTGAAGCTTCGACTAGGAATAACAAAGAAGTTGAGCTAAGTTACAACGGAATACAACTTACTAGTATGTTTGTATTAATAAGTGAATGTCATAAAACTGAATAAAGAGCTCCATGAATTTACATAGCCTCGTTCTTCTGTGATAATTACACCACGATTACATCCTTCATCAACAATAACAAAGAATTAAAAGAAACAAAAGAAGGCGGAATGTTGATGACAATAAAATAACGTCATAAAATTAAAAAAATGTTTGATCTCTTAAGTAAGAACTTATTTATGCAACCATAATATATTTTCACAGCAAGTTGCAAAAAAATTAATTTGTAATGATAATAATACAATAAAAAACTAATTCACATTATTTAAATTATCGTCGAATTAAATTTGCATACTCGTATTACTAGTAATAAGACAGATTTACTGTATACATGAATAGAAACTAAATCATTTTGCAACAAGATGCAGTCTTCAATTGTTGAAACGTCCTTATAAATCTTAAAATCATTAGCATATATATTAAGGGTCCCCGCAAAATCGGTTTCAGTGAGAAGAATTATTTTTTGTAACTATGCAACCCAAAGTACCGATCCACGGCAGGTAGCGACCCAAGAGAGGAGAGATTATGGTCACTGACTCATTCATTAATTTTTTGGGCCACCTAGGTAGAATTTATTCCGCAAAATTTTGAGATGACGTTATCAATTTTTAGTAGCATAATCCTGAACTTGTGATTTATAAATACATTATTGAGATTTTTCGGCTTTTCGGTTTTTCGATTTTTCAACTTTTGATGTTTCAATTTTTCAGTATTTTAATTTTTGATATTTTCAATTTTTCCATTCTTCAAATTTTCGATTTCTCCATTTTTTTATTTTTCGATTTCTCAATTGTCCGATGTTTCAATGATACGATTTCGCAATTTTTCAACTTTCGATATTTTAATTTTTCAATTTTTAAAATTCTAGATTTTTTGATTTCTCGAGTTTTCAGTTCATCTATGCATATTTCAGTTTTTCAATTTTCGGAATTCATTAAATTTCTGATTTTCCATTTTTTTTATTTTTCGATTTTCCAGTTTTACGATGTTTCGATTTTTCAATTATACGATTGTTCAATTTCTCGATTTCTAAATGTTAGATTTTCCAATTTTAATTTTTTTTATTTTTTCATGTTTGGACTATTTATTATTGCTAAAAATAAAAGTAAAAAATAACTACCAAAATTGTGACTAAAAATATGTAAAAATTAATAGAAAATAGAACACATTGCTGCTAAAACATAAAAATAACTGTACTTTCCCAAAAAAATCTATTGCATGATTACTGTTCCACTATTGCTAATTTAGGACGTTAGTATCAAACGCAATGAAAGTATTAATTCTTAGTTAAACAAAAAAATAGTTGAGTGTCAAAATCGAGTGAAACATGTGAGACGTGTATAAACAAAAGCATCTAAATAATAACAATTTCCCGCAGAACTTCTGGAGGCTTATAGAGTCGACATTGGCCTGAACGCGCTCTGGTCTGTGGATCATACAAGTTCTCGGGCGACGATGTATCTAACCAGGCAGTTGAAATACCTGATATGCCACAGCGCAAAAAGTATTTCTCAAAAAACTTTCAAACGTTGATGTCTTTTTAATCAAACAAAACACAACTGGCGAACGCAATAATCCAGAATGGTGCGCAGAAAAATCCTTTTTTGTCTTTTGAAAAATTTAAAACAATGTTGAGGTTCTAGGCATTCCTGTTTGGAAAGAATTTGAAAGTGTTTTAGAGCCTCTAGTGTCTTCTCTTATAATAATTTAATTAAATTTCTTAGAGGATACGTGATTTGCTAAAATCAGTTTTATATTAGCAGGTACTAGCCCCCCCCACCCACCCTCTCTTTTCTTAGAGGGTATATCGTTTGCCAAAATCCATCTTATTTTAGCAGGTACTAGCCTATTAAGAAAATAAAGGGCGGATGGGCGGGCTGGTGCTTGCCAAGATAAAGCTGATATTGCCAAATAACATACCCTCTAAGAAAATAAGGGCGGGCGGGTGGGGCTAGTACTTGCCAAAAGTAAGATTTTGGCAAATGATCTACTCTTTAAAAAAAGGGTGGGTGGCCGGGGTCAATACTTGCCAAGATAAATAAATAAATAAATAAATAAATAAATAAATAAATGTATTTATTATCCAACAGACAGACAGTCTAACAGGATAAATGCTTTGTAGTATTACAATTATAATTATAACATGCCTACCAAAATCGACTACATGTATTATAAAAAGAGAAAAGAAAAAAGAAAAATACAAACAGGAAATATTCTATGATACAACATGAATAAGTACATATAATTATAATTAACACAATATTAGTATATTAAAGAACGAGTTTCATAAGGCAAACATTGAGGCACGAATCCAAGTTTATAGAACGAGCGGCGAAGCCGCGAGTTATATAAAGGATGAGTGCCTCAATGGCCTTATGAACGAGTTATTTATACTATTTTTTCTACCGCACACGTTTTTTCCCAAAATTTAATTGAAATTTGCATTTTTTTTAATCTGGGGACTTTTGTCGTGGTTGGTGATGGGTTGGTCTGACACTAACCACGAAATATTTGAGGTTCGAATTTTCACAACAACAATTGTAATTCGAATCAATTCGAGTTTTCGTAATTTAAAATTGGTTAAAATGTTTTGCGAAGAAGTTACGCGTCCGGAAATGTGGGAAATTTTAAGTTTAGATTTGCCACTGACATTCTCCTGACATTTCTCGTCATTGCTACCAATCTTACCGATCTAAATTACACCAGATCTATTAAAGAACGCCTTTCCGCTATTAACGAACTGCTGTGACGTCATTTGCGTGCGTTAATAGCTCTATTAGAAAACCAAAAAACGTGGGCGGTAGAAAAAAGTTTTTTACAATTTCGTCTAAATGTAGTTACGTTATATTGGAATATATCTAGGACAGATGCTACAACATTGTAACAGCGGCATATATTATTTAACGGTGCATAATAATGTTGGTTTGTTCTGCATGTATCTATTGAAAATGTTACATGATGTCGACTATTTAGACGCGGGACTAGAAAATGGATATCGTTGAGAAGTTTGGTGTTTACAATGATACCATGAATTAGCTTGAAAAGAAAATAAATATTACCAAACGTTCTTCTAGCCTTTAGTGTACAAAGATTAAATTCTTTTAAGAGAATATCATTAGGATATGATCTAACTGGGTACACACCATGTTTAATATAATATAATCTCTTACAAAATTTTCTCTGTATTCGTTCGAGCGACGCAATATGAATATCATAATATGGATCCCATATCATACTACCATATTCTAATTTAGCCCTAACATATACATAGTACAGTGTTAACAATGCTTCAGTGTTTCTAAAATGTACCGTGTTCCTATATATAAATCCCATCATTTTTGTGGCATGGTTACATAAATATTGTATGTGTGGTACAAATGTCAACTGTGGATCTAGAATAATACCAAGATCTTTAATTTGATTAACTTTGTCAATTGCTGATCCATTCAAAGTATAATTGTAATCTATATTCGAAGTTGTTCTAGAAAAAGTAATTACTTTACATTTAGATACATTAATTTTCAGAAAATTTGTTGTACACCACGATTTAAAACCATCTAAATCTGCTTGCAGTAGTTGACAGTCACCAGTAGATTCTATACGATTAGCAATTTTTAAGTCGTCCGCATAGACAAACACTTGACAACGAAATAAAGACAAAGCATCGTTAAAGTACATAACAAAAAGAATTGGTCCTAACGTTGATCCTTGTGTAACGCCACTATCAGTATTATACAATTGTGAGCGGTACCCATGATATTCGACAAATTGTTGCCGGTTGCCAAGTAGCGATTTAAATAAATTTATCAGATTGTTACATAAGCCAAAAGTGTTTAACTTCCTAATTAGGATAGAATGGTTGACCACGTCAAAGGCTTTGGATAGATCAGTATATAACACATCGACTTGTTTCTTAGAATCTAATACACTGGATACATATTGAATATATTCACAAAGGTTCGTCGTCGTAGATCTGCCCTTAATAAAACCGTGTTGGTTGTCACTAATCATGCATGCTATGTGGCTAGATAATTTTTTTGCTAAGATGGCTTCAAAAATTTTTGCAAAATTCGAGATAATCGCTATTGGTCTGTAATTTTGAACATCATGTCGTTCACCGGTTTTATGAATAGGAACTACCTTTGTCGTTTTCCACATCTTCGGAAAAGTTGCTTTCTGAACTATGATATTAAACAAATGACATAATGGTTGACATAAACAAGAAATACAGTCTTTCACTAAAAATGCAGGTACACTATCAGGTCCCATTGTAAAATTTGGTTTAATTTTCTTGAGAGCTTGGTAAATATCACAGGTCGTTATCACAAAATTATTTAACACTGGAAACATATCACTAGTATTATCACAGAAGGTTGAATTATCACAGGGAATGTCACTAATAAAGACCGAACTGAAGAAATCAGCAAAGGCATTGACGATATCTTGTTGATGAACTAACTTCTTATCTCGAAAATGCATGTTACCTGGGATGCTGGTGTTATTTCTTTTTAAGTTAATATATTTCCATAAATTCTGTGGATTTGTACTAATATTTTCTTCCGCTCGATTAATAAAATAAACATACTGCATTTTGATTTCACTTTTAATAAGTTTCCTTAGGTTATTAACTTGTACTAGATCTCTCTCAAATTTATGCTTTTTATAACTTTTCCATAGGCGACGCTTACGATTAATATAACTGATTATAGTTGGTGTAAACCATACTGGATACTGTATTGTACGAACAGGACACTTGGGAATGTATATATCAAATAAATTATATATCTTATCATAAAAATAGCTGCACGCATCATCCACATCAGTTAATAGTGTTAATTCCGACCAATCTATTGAACATAAACTGCTATATAAACCTATGTAATCGCCCCTACGAAATTTGTATTTAAGACTGTTATTTGAAGTGTAAAACTTGCAGTCATTATAAGTATGGAGTGGAATTTTAAGTTTGATTTCTAATGAAGGATGATGTTGGTC